CTACTCTTCTGTCCCAAGGACCGGCCCATAGATCTCCACTGCTCTCCTCTCCTCTGCCTTCTGCATATCAGGCACAGGAGCCAGCTGTTCCTCCTCTTCCTCATCAGCCACCTCCAGATCTGGGGGCTGTTGACTCTCCATCTGAGGGTTGATGGACAGCCCAGGCTCCGCCTCTGTCTCTCTCTCTCTCTGCCAGCTCCATTCCCTCTTCCTCCTCAAAGCTCTCAGGTTGTCTTGATGATGATTTAGACTCCCATGCTTCTTCCTCCTCCTCTGATTCAGCTGCTGAAAGGGCCGGTGGCCAATAGGTCACAACAGGGGGAGAGAACTCCATTTCACTCTTGTACACGGTTTTGGGAACAATGGAATAGGATAAGACAGAGAGCGTACTTTGCTTTTTAAAAAATAAATAAGTTCCGTTGGAAGCTTGTCGGAGCGATTTAAAAAAAAAAAAATCAAATGAAATTTGTCCCGCAGAACAGAATACAAGCCTTGTGCGTAATGAGTTGTTCAGTTCTATCACAGCAAAGGCCACTGGGTCCCACGCTTCGTGGATGGCTTCACTTTTATTTTCGAGGATGTGCAAACAGGTTTTACGGGTGAGAAAACTGACCTATCTGGAGAGGCAAGCTTTATCCATCAGAGCGCGCAACAAGAATGGATCGTACCCAAAGATTAAAAAAAAGGAGGCAGCCCTAAATGGAAAGGACTGAGATTGATGTTGGGTCACCTTGTGGCTGATTGATTCCACGAGATTCACACACACACACCCCCCCCCGAGGATAAAGTCTGTTTTATCTGTAGCCTGTCCAAGGGAAGGCATTTTTCTTTTATAAGGCCAAATTCATTCCTTCTGTCAACTCATAAAACATTTCTATGCCTGTTTTAGAGTTGCCATGAACGAGTGGGAGAGAAAATTGAAGGAGCAGTGCAGCAGTCTAAAACCGAAAGTGCATTCCATTCTTATCTTGCACAGATTGTAACTAAGCTACTGGAATTTCTGCCGTGAAAATCCCTAATTGGAGAATGTGATTGGTGACTCTTGGCTATGGACGTATTTTGTTGGAGAATATGAATTATGATACACCCAGAGAAGTGGGGGGAAAACAGGGTCAAGGGTGACAGTGAATTACGTGTCTCAGAATCAGCTTCATACGGGTCATGTCGACATGTTCGCTCCTAATAAATCTTACGAAGTTTTTGAAGCTTGGCTCGAGGCTCATGATTTAATTAGGGCAACTGCCGGAATCCTGACACCTTCCTTCCTTCCTTCTTTCGGACAACACCGGCAGTCCTCGAGTTAGGACCACAATCGAGCCCCAAAGTTTACGTTGCTGAGGGGGAACGTCGGTTAAGTGAGTTTGTCCCGTTTTACGACTTTTTGTGCCACCGTTATTAAATGCATCCCTGCATCTGTTAGGATAGTAACCCGGTTGTGAAGTGAACCAGGATTTTTCCATGGATTTTGCTGGGCACAAAAGCAGATCACGTGACCCTGGGAAACCGCAGCCTTCGTAAATATGAACCCCTTGCCAAGTGCCTGGATTTTGATCAGGTGATCGTGGGGATGCTAAACGGTCATAAGTGTGAAAAACGATCCCAAGTCCCTTTTTTCAATGCCATTGTGACTTTCAACAGTCAGTTAACGGTCATGACTGTGAAAAGCGGTCCTAACTCACTTTTTTCAGTGCCGTTGTAACTTCAAAGAGTCACAAAATGAACCATGTTGAGGAACTACATGGGAGTTTCTGCATGCCTTGCCTTTTTTTGCTTATCCTGCTCCTTCTCAGAAACCCAATTGTTTCTCCTAAATTGGCTTCTGTTTCTTCAGTTTTTCCTGCCCCTTTATAGTGTTCTTCCAAGGATGCGGAAGAGAACAGCAATTAATATATTAAGGAAATGGTAGAATCATGAATAGGTATCAGATTTCCCTAAATCTGGGTGGGGAAACAAAGAGAAACAGAACCCAACAGCGACAGTCATTCACCAACTGGACAACAATTCATCTGGAATGTTTCAGGTAGCCCTCAAAATTACGACCACAACGGAGCCCAAAAATTTATGTTGCTAAGCAAAACTTTTGTTCAGTGAGCTTGCCCTGTTTTACGACTTTTCTCGCCGCAGCTATTAAGTGAATCATTGCATTTGTTAAGTCAAGTGGTGGCTAACCTTTTTCGTCTCCCGTGCTGAAAATTGCACTCGAGTGTCAGCACCCAGAAAGCAGTGCACACGCGCCCCCATGCCCGTGCATGCACATGCACCCCCCCATGCTGTGCATCTCTGCACATGCGCATGCGACCCCCCCGTGCCATGCGGCTCTATGCATGCACACATGTCTCCCGTGCAACCCCCCCCCATGCGCACCAGATAACCAACAATCAGCTGTTGGGCGGGTGGCACGCACTCATGCGCAGTGGGGCTCTTCTGGGTGATCTCTCGTGTGCTACTTCCGGCATGTGTGCCATAGGTTCGCCATCACGGTGTTAAGTGAATAACCTGGTTGTGAAGTGAATCTGGCTTTCCCATGGATTTTGCTGGCCGGGAGGTCGCAAAATCGGATCACGTGACCTCCAGGACGCTGCAACCATCAGAAATATGAACCGGTGGCCGATCATCTGAATTTGGATTAGGTGACCCCGGGGAGGGTGCAACGGTCATAAGCGCGAAAAACAAATGTTGCTTTTTCAGTGCCGTTGTAACTTCGAACGATCACTAAATGAACTTTTGTTAAGTCGAGGACTACCTGTATGGGGTCTCCTGCCTGAGCAGGAGGTTGGACTAGAAGACCTCCAAGGTCCCTTCCAACTTTTGTTATTCTGTGATTCCATTATTCTGACCTGCAAGAAACAGCAATGTTTCCCGCAAAGAGCTGGAAAGAGCATTTTTGTTAAGGTAAAATTCACACCTGGCCTTGGGCTTTACATTATATGTTTCATTTTGTTAGGAATGATAGTCATCTAACAGTTGGGTTGGCAATATATAAACCAGAATAGTCATTTAATACTGTTGTATCTTTAAGAGAATACTGTAATTGTGATTGGCTTGAGGTTTCTCCAACGGCCATAAGATGGAGCCAGAAACCTGGTTTGTTGTTCTTGCATTTTCTGCATTTCCCTTTTGCCTGATTGTCATTCTGCTTGAATTGCTGTGAGTCTTACAACTGTTCACAAACTCCGTTTACTGAACTTTGTTTATGATACCGGTAAAGAAAAGGACTTCGTTTTTGGATTATCCCTAGGCTGATTGTTTTGAATACTAACTGCTTTAACCGTGTATGATTTGGACTGTTTGTTGGACTTTGTTACACGTTTACTGGAAGTAAAACTTACAATTTACTATTCAGTGTATCTGTGTGCTGATTGTGTGTTATTCATCACCATTCTCATTATGTTTCCCTGAGTGCACTCATTCTCCAAATGGGGAATACCTCAACACATTTATTTAGAAACACCAGGGGCCATTCACGCTCTGACAGTTCCTTCCCCGCTGGCTATAAAGTCCTTCAACCAATTTGGAACATATGTATCAGGCCCCCCCGTCGGAGTCTGAATCTGTGGAGGAAGATGAGCTGGAACATGAGACGACAGAGATCGAGTGGGCAGCTCCGTTGGCTTTGGAGGAAACTGGGGAAGGGCAGAGTCAGTCCAGGCAGGGCTTTTCTGAATTAGTAAGACCTGCGGACAGGGACGAGCAGGAGAGACAGTAGAAGAGCAACAACCACCCCCTCCTGATCCGAGAGCACGGAGAGAAGAGAGAAGGTGAGATCAACGCAGACTGAGCTGGCTACGAAGGAGGAGAGTGCCTCGCCCCCCCCTTCACAAGGCACACCTGGGGACTGGGATGTAAGGAGGTGCTGGTGGGAGGGGCATTTGTCGGGAACAAGCACTGAATCTGTGGAGCCTCGTGTGCACTTGCCAACGCCTGGAGATTGCTGTGCTCTGTCTTGTAGGACTCGCCCAGTTTGCTTGCTTCACTGAACTTCTTGCTGTGGTTACTGTTTGGCTAACCTGGCTTCCTGGACTGCTGGCCCTGGTTACTGTTTGGCTAACCTGGCTTCCTGGACTGCTGGCCCTGGTTACTGTTTG